TCCACTGCTGGAGATAGGCTTCTCCTTAGAAAGGAGGTTTTGGCCTACTATACCACGCTGGCCAGACGGGTTGGTATAGGGTTTGTTTCAAGTTTTCCTTCTCTTTGCAGTGCTGTTGTCCTGCTTAGTTTGCTCCCTTAGTCGGCTCTTACGACACCCACGGGATGAATTGATGTGGTGACAATTTGTATTCTTAATCCGTCACCACACGGACTATTTACGTACACCATCATAATAATATTTACATGTAATCCAGCGTTTTCTAATAATTTTAAATATGCGAATGTTCAGATCTAATGGTCCTTGTGGTGATTGATGGAGAATACAGAGTGTCACCGCTATCCGAGACTTGTGGTGTCCCTTATTCCAGACCTATCATTTTTCCATACCTTAATTTAGCTTCTTACTTTAGTGCATTCCGTTCCCCTTCCCTATTATATTTCAGGCAGAAGTCCGGCTACTAAAGAAACCAATCAAAACTCTCTGCAATTTCCCATTTAGCAAGCCCCATGAGAATTGGGATATTTCACGTTTCCTTTGAGGTAAGTTTAAACTACTTAGAAACCATTTTTTGACAGGAGATTCTTATATTAATCCGTATTTGTGTGGGTCATTGCTTGAGATTACAGTTAAAACAGTGGCAAAGTATATGTGGGATTGTTACCAGTATACAGTTTTAATGTTCACACAATTGTATCCTCTCCTGTCTAACTGTAATTTAACCTCATAAACTGTTGCATTAATTTAAACCAAAATAATAATTAAGTTATGGTTACTTTTTCAATGCACCGAAATAAAAAATATAAATATTGATATTCGCTCTTATAACACGGAAATGGTCGGCAATTCAATAATTGTTTGGCTAACGACCCGTTTAATATCTCCGTGAGAACTGTATTATTTAACATCGCGTAAGATTATTACAAGACACCAATACAGTCGGCATCAAAAACTTGTTGATAGTCAGTGTAACCACAATAACAACGATATACAGCCACGACAGATATAAAACCGACTTTGGTATTATATAAATGATTATATTTCATGAAATGGTTGGCCATCATCATAAATAAGCACATGTATCGTGTTAAAAATTTTGACACCAACATATCCGTGTCTGTGAAAAGTTCACGAGTTTTGTAATGTTGGAACCGCATATAGGAACACGTCATCAAACGTAACCATACAGTAAGAATCATTTTAAACGGCTAGTTTAGACCAACAATGTAAACACAAAGATCATGTCAATATTATTGAATACTATCGTAGTATGAGACGTGTATGTAGCAATGATTACACTGTGATTTATACTGTCTGTACCTCCCGAACTGGATCCTGCCGAGCCGCCTTACAAGTTCAAGCCTATACGCTATCAACTTATACGCATATATTATTTGTACACGACGCAGAAACCCTAACCACACGCAGAACTGTTCCGAGAATTATTTAATGGGATAATTTTTGTGAAACTGCAACTTGAGTTGGTAATGAAATAATTGGGTGTTATGTTTTAAAAATACAGATAAATTTCAACATAGAAACAGGCATAAGTGTATGAGATCATACTGCTATACTGGCGGGTGAGGAGGGCTGGGGCGCAGTGGTCTCTTTCTGAGATTCTTTAATGCTCCAGAAAGAGACCGCTAAACGGGATCGCAAGAGGGCTGATCTCAAGTGTAGAGGACGTCGCAGCGATACCAGCGATGCGGCCGCAGGTTGTCAGGGTGTGGAACTCTGGTGGCAGATTAACTGCTGCGGTAGGCGATGGGATGGCGGCCTGTTCGCAAAAAGCAATCGGGTCGCAGCTTCCCTGGGATAGGGCCTTACTAGGCGCGGCGTCAATTCGGGGGGCCGGACTTGAAATAACATGGACCCCGGACCTTCTCAGAGTAGGCTCGAGACCGGCCGTCGGGGTGGTTTTTGTAAATGAAACAAAAATAAATTAAATAAAGATCTAGTGTGCATCTAATTCTAGTACCCTATTGGTATAATGTCACCATATACAAGAATTTGTGTTGTTTGTGTTGTATCATTTAAATTTTTACCAACATCCTGCCCCCATAGATAGGGAGAATAAATTCAGTGTGAGTTTTTTTTATAGTATAAGGGGGCAAACGAGCGACGAGTCACCTTTTTTTGTCGTGTGTGGGACTCCTAGAAAACCGGTCTACCAACAAAACCCCGCGGCGGCCTACCGCGGCAGTCAACTAGCATGAAGGTAAGCAACTACCGCCGCCTATGGAAACCTGCAACTCAAAAGTCACAAGTGCGTTGCTGCCATTGGAGTCCCTCCCATTGGAGTTTAATCTCATAAAACCCTGTTGGTTTACAAAGCAATAGTTACCCTCTTTAAAACGCTACTGCTCAAATACTGATCAGATTTCACTGAAGGTATTTTAAAAGGAAAATTGTACGTATTTTGCTCGATATTTTTATAATTTGATATCAATGCATTGGAGTTACATTTGACATTAAGGTAGCCATTAATTGTAAAAGGAATCTTTATGAGTATAAAGTGAGCTCTTAGTTCAATAAACAACATGTATATCTATTTATATATAAGAGATTTCCACGTATATAGTCACTCATCACGATATCTCTGGAACCATTAGAGCTAAGACTTGAAATTTGGTAGGAATATACTTTTCACCGAGTAGAGGTCAGATAAGAACGGATTTTAAGAAATTAAAAAAAAAAAAAATGTAAATAGCAAAACAACGTTTGCAGGGTCAGCTACGAGTAGTATTCAAATATATCCTTAGTGAAGGAATTATTTATGCGTGATTTATTTATTATTATAAGATAGTTTGACTGCCTCGGTGGTGCAGTGGTTGCGTATGCGACTGCTGTGCTGAAATCTCGGGTTCGATTCCCGGGTCGGACCAAACGTTTGTATGATCTGCAAATATTTGTTTCGGAGTTTGGGTGTTATCTATGTATGTATAATATGTAATTGTTTACAAATAAAAAGTATAAAAGTATTTTATTAGTCAATCTTGCTTTCATAGTACAAGATCTGCTTAGTTTGAAACTAGATGGCGTTGTGTGTCAGATGTCCGAATAAACTAAAAACTATAGATATAGTGATGACTTCATGACGTGATATGGATTTGAAAGAACCATGATTTAAAGGCTGTTTGATGATAAACAGTGATGATGTAAATACAAAGTGAGTAATAAGGTAGGTATGGTGTGTTTTTGTAACATTGTTTATTCACAAATCGTGATTTTGATACAATAAGGTAATTTTTATTGAAATAATCTAACCACCCGCCATAGTTCATTCTACTAAGTTTTGCCAATATATTGAGGGTATTTTATGCTATGTATAGTATGAAGCATATTAATGCTTTCCTAACAACAAAAAATGCAGTTGAATACGTTCAATTGTCAAGGATTAGATCGTATTCATACATAATATTAGAAATACAAGTCACTCAGACTTGACATGAATGTCCTAGTGGTTAGTGACCCTGACTGCTACGCCAGAGGTCGTGGGTTCCATTCCCACACAGGACAAATATTGTGTGATGAGCACGGTCATTTGTTCTGAGTTTGGGTGTACTATATCTATAATATGTATGTATTTAGAAATATATAAGTATGTTTATCAGCAGTCTGGTTACCATAACCCAGGCTGTGTCTAGTTTGGAAACAGGCGGCCGTGTGTAAGATATGTGGAAAAATATATATTTTTACTTCCTTTTTAACTACATAAGGAAATTATTGCTTAAAATCGAGCTTATCTATCTAGTTTTATGAATACCTACCTACCATTCAAGAAAAAGACAGTAATAAAACAAACTTAATAAAATAGGTTTTATACTAAAATGTAAATAAACGAAAAAATTTTTTTTATTTTGACAATGATGACATTGCCTGTCAAAACATTTATGTCAGCCATTTTTTTATTAGTTTTCAAAGTACCGTCATAGAACATAACACTTTATAAAAAATCTAAAGACGGAGGTGGTACTTATTTGATTTTGGAATACATTTAATGTGGGTGGATCAGGTATAAAACTGAACCGTATTGATACCTACCTAGCATAACCTTTGAATCATACAAAACACAGATGCGAAATGATACTTAACATAATAAGAATTAAGACGCTACAGTCGTATGACTCACAATAACATTAAAATAGCAAACACGACCATTGTTTGAACTCCAGAATAGGAAATAAACAATAGTTAACTGACATAAGGTGACTTGTTGTCGTCATACCAACTTAAGGAAACTCAAGGAGCTCTAAAGATTTAGATGAAATTGGGATGCATTTATTACGCGTCAAAGATAATACAGTGAAACAAGAATCCAGTGAGCAGGTGTGCAAACATGAGCATCCGAACCCAGCCGCACACCTAGACGCAAAGATATTTGTTATGATCACAACACGGGACAAAGCGGGCGCATTCCACTAACGAGACAAATACCGACATAAGCAAACATCGACCGGACACCGAAACATTCGATGATAACATCTACGTATATTACGCATACCTTAACACAATACTAAATACCTTTTGACTTTTTAAAATTCAATAAAACTTAAAACTTTTGACCCGTGTGGCCGAACGTGAATATTTATGTCTAAATTATGCGTGAACACGTTTAAAAAAATACAACTGTCAATATTCCTGGCTACGGCGCTCAGCTGAGCGAAACAAAATTGATGTGTGAATTGAGACATGTTCAAACTTACCTGTGTTAAGCACCGCCGCGGCTGCTACAACTCGCCCGTTATCATTTAAATTAAAAACAATTCGCTCTGAACTTGATACCTTCCAGTGCACAGTTTGATTTCCACCTTTATGTTAATTATAACTTAAAATTACTAGTTAATTAAGCTCACGTGTTATGCTAAGCGTTAGTGTTAGTCTGTATTATATTCTGTGTGGTCAGCGTCTTCGCGAAGTCGTTTCGTTCGTGTCGACCGCTCGGTATGCACTTTTGGGGTCACTCGGGGTCGATTGGTTTTATTATGTTTTTTCGCGTGATGTGGCTTGTGGGCGAAGGCTTGTGTTACGTGGCGTGCGGCGCGGTTGGCGTCCGAGCGATCACTGACTGGCTGAGCGCGCTCGCAGTGTCCGGCGCAGCCCTGTGCGGTGGGTCGCGGGATGCGCGCGCGCCTCCTACTCCTCCCTCAACCTTCTCCCGGAGGCTTTCGTGCCCTAAAAGATATAACACTAGAGCCGCGTTCTGAGAAAGCGTCATATTTTGCCTCTATACAACTCTAATTAGACTAAGTGTGTTATTTATTTTGATACGATAAAAGCTTGTTTTCGATAGACTCCGTTTATAGGTGAGCCTTGTGTCGGTATGGCTCGCCGACACACATTTTTGTGTTATCGAACCTTCCTTCTTTGAAGAACGGTAAAAATGCTTCAGTATTCTCAAGGATACTAGATTTGATTTGATTCTTATTGGAAAAAGGAATCAATCATCGAAGAAAGATAGTTTCAAAGGTTCCTGTTTCCTGTTAACATTCATTCCGATTTCGTACTAAGACAATCGGTATGTAAAAGATGTTGGTTGGGTGACAATGTTCTGTGTCAGAGATTGGTAGATATTGGACAATGACTCTCTAGCTATTGTTAAAACCGGAACAGGGCGGTGATTTGAACCAATATTGCCAACATGACTCGAGAGATTTGAAAGTTTGCGATTTGTTTACGGTAAATATGCAAATTATTGAAAAAAAAATCGACTGCGTGAAAATCGTAAAGGTAAAAAAACTTAATCGATATTATCAATTATGTTCGTTTACGTGTGCTTGAAAGACAATATCAATATTATTTCTTTTTTAGCACTTCTCGTTCCAAAGGTGTACCTTAATTCGAAAAAAACATTGACAATGACATTAAATGGCGCCGATTCTAACGAGGCAGACGACTCCAGCCAAATTAATCAAGCCTTTAGGCAACAAAACGTACCAAACAAATGTACATACATTACACACGCCCGAAAAACAACAAATATATCCTTTCTTCCTCCAGCCTTTTCTGGCGCGCCGAGTAATTATTGACCAGACCTTTATCGGTAAAGAATGGTACGAGGTCAACCTTTTGCCAAAAAACGGGTTTTTGATATTTGTGTCGTTTATTTTGGCGCTTGACTTGAATGTGTTATCGTATAAATTATAGTATCCAGAAGTTTTAAGAACGTGTAGCGAAAAGCGGTGTGTATTTAAGTAAAGAGACAATGATAGTGGCAAACCTTAAGTATGAAATAAAATAGAAACTATTAACGGACCTAGGTCGTTTTACTTCTTTAGTTTGCGAAATATGAAGCCGAAACGAAGCCTATGGTTTCGCAGTCATAAAATATATATTACCAGCTAGGCAGCTACACCGTACCACACTTCGCTATGGCACAGTTAAGAAACTAATGTGAAAAATAGATAAAAACAATCCTTGAAACGGTTTGTATATTGTGTCAAAATTTCAATTCAATTGTTGCAGATTTTTTTTAGTTTTTGAAGCATACATAAACCAACTTAACATTTTATTATATATAGATAGTTGTCTTTCTGTAAATAAAATCTTTTTCTGGTTATAATTTTTTTAGGACTGTCACATTGTAGTTAAAACATAACTCAACTATGACATCGACTACAGTATTTCAAAAAACACCAATTAACAGAGATGTTCAGCTTTTAATGTTTAAAAGATTATGATGATACCTCGACGATCGCGAAGGAACCCTTTACTGTAGTGCCACGGAAAAGAGTATTTAAAGGGTAGGCGACTCGAATACCAGTCCTCTGGAATCATAGTCATCTGTAAGCTATAATATGACTGGGACGGTAAACGTAGCACTCAGACATTCAGGCAGACACTATGCTTGTTTTCCATAGACGTGGAAAAAACAACTTCTGTTACAAAATTGTATTAACTAGACTCCAGTGCTATGCCCTCGTTTTAAAACTATAAAAATACCAACGGTTACTTGACAAGCACCATAAGGGACAAGTTGATTTAAGAAATGTTTACCTTATGTAATAACGACCTTCTCAATACATGCTTTGGAATGTTTACTCATTTTAATTACCTACATGTTTTAATAAAAATATAAATTTACTACCATACCACCGGAACAGATGGCACTTTTTTTTTTGTTGACGGGGTGCAATATCCCTTCGGATCTCCTGCTCCTCGGGGACTCATGTGCCAGGAGCATGTGGTGATTCCACTAAAAACCACCCGACGGCCGGACTTAGGTGTCCTACTCTCGGGAAGGACCCGGACCATGTTATTTCAGGTCCTCCCCGAATTGACACCATGCCTAATCAGGCCCTATCCCAGGTGAGATGGCACTTAGCAATTAATAATGAATATTTCCTTTGCGATTAGGCAAAGTGAGTATAGACGACGACATCGGGTTGGTGCGGACTGTCCTAGACCGGGATAGGTGACGCTCCTTGGAGGAGGCCTTCTTCTGATGATGATGATGGATGATCCTTTTAATGCATACTTATACTCACGTAACATCGTTGAAGTCCCAGGGATAAGGCAATTGTTGTCCACTGAACACTTTAGGCATAAGACGGGAGAATTAAGAGTGTAATTAAAGTAATGGTAAGAAATTGCTTTTACGAATGAATTGGGGAGTGTAGCTCGATCCCTTCAGGGTAACTCGAAATGACCGAGTCCTAAAGCTTTTGGTATATATATGACGCGTTATCCATCTATCTGTCCTTACAGGGTTGTTATTATTATTATATTAATTAAAACATAGTTCCCTGATAAAACTGAGAATTTCTGAACAGAGGTATGGACACGAAAATTGTATAAGCATTAGTCAGCTACCGAAATCGTTCTTCGACGACCGAAACGATTTAGGTAGCTTCAAAGTTTATATCCACAAAAGACATCCTATCCGTTATTTGACGGGCCTGTTGGTCTAGTGGTTAGTGACCCTGACTGCTAAGCCGGAGGTCGTGGGTTCGATTCCTACCCAGGACAAATATTGTGTGATGAGCACGATCATTTGTTCTGTGTCTGGGTGTAATTTATCTATAATATGTATGTATTTAAAAATATATAAGTATGTTTATCAGCGGTCTGGTTACCATAGTACAGGCTCTGCCTAGTTTGGGATCAGACGGCCGTGTGTGAGATGTGTGAGATATATTATTATTATATTATATTATATATATTTCTGATTTTTAATCTCTGAGCCTTAATATTATTTTATGAGAGTATAATCAAAGTAAATGTTGATAATAGATAACGTCCGATTCTTTGCATAGTGATTTTGTCTGTACATAACACAAATGAAAACGAACGCACATTCTCTAAACTATTAGAGTTAAGAAAACAAGCGTTGTTTTACAATTGTATTACAAACAAAGTTTGATTTGACGTTTTACTGAATTTTATAGGGTAAACCTGGTTCCCCGGCTATTAGTACCCGAGACGGCGTGCGGTTTTAGTCGGTTCAAGTCCGACATGCCACCGATAGGTGGTATCCGAGAGGATTTCCTAACGGAAAAAAAAGAAAAAAAAAGGGAGGAGAAATCAATCTATTCTTTTTTTAAATTACTTTTCAGAATATTTTCAAATACTGTTTAAATAAAACCTTTTTCTATCGATCTCAAAGCCCCGATATACATTTAAGACGAAATGATCTATTATAAAGCTGTATTTTTAAGTACGTACAAATAAAATGGATGAATGAAACAGTAAACGGCCTACGATATTTAAATAACCATTACAAGAAGAAGTAAAGGTCAGCAAGACTGAACAATATCTACCTTATAAAAGTAGGCATCGTTTATGGTATGACATCACCGAATTCTGGCAATCGCCCACCCATCTGTTGCAGGATTGGATTTATACATCACGTAATGCATTATTTATTCATACAAGGCTATTGGAGATAGGACTGTTGCGCTGCTCAATCTATTATTTAAGTATTAGTTCATTTATTAAGTAATCTTTTACCTAGTTTTCAGTTGTATTTTTTATGTTTTGACTTCAGAACTCTGTCATTTATGAAACGATTTGGGAAATTCTTTTTTTGTTTGCGAAAGTATACTTTCTATTTGGTCTTATTTAAATATGAAGTCAAAAAGCACGGATGGCGTAGTGGTTTAAGCGGTCGCCACGTCGCGTCCTACTACGCCGAGTGTTGTGGGTTCAAATTTATTCTATTTGCAGAAATTTTCTTACGATTCTGCAAGTGTTTAGTATAGCAGCTTTTTGAAGAATCATGTAGGTATTGGGTTTCAGATCAATGAGTTTTAAACTAGAATGTATATGTTTCGGAATAATACCAGTCGTGGACAATACTATAGGGACAATGTATACTTTTTGTTGTTTCCAGATTCTTAAAACTTCATCCTTAAGGTCTGCATATTTGTGTATTTTTTCTGCTATTGTTTTTTGTAGGTTGTGAGTATTTGGAACAGCTATATCGATCAGGTAAGTAGTTTTATTTATTTTGTCTTGGACGGTTATATCGGGGCGGTTGTAATGTATCGTTCTATCGGTTAGTATTGCACGGTCATAGTATATTTTATGAGTGTTGTTTTCCAAAACTGCTTTAGGGATATATTTGTAATATGGTGTACGTGTGTCCGGGATGAGTTCGTGTTTCAGTGCTAGTCTTTGATGTATGATATTTGCAATTTGATTGTGTCTATGTGTGTAGTCTGTTTGTGCAAGATTAGCGCATGCTCCAGTGATATGTTGAATTGTTTCTGCTTGGTTGTGACATTTTCTACACCTATCGTCTGTTGCTGTAGGATCTTTGATAATATGTTTTTTATAGTTTTTAGTGTTGATGATTAGATCTTGGATTGCTATGATGAATCCTTCAGTTTCCGGGAATAGGGATCCAAGAGTGAGCCATTTGTTTGATGCTAACTTGTCTATATGCGGTTGTTCAAGGTCTTGGGGATGTCGGCCATGGAGTGCTTTCTTTTTCCATTGTTCTATTTTACAGATTTCAGAGTTATTTTCTATGTTACCTATTTCTGTCTCTTGGGTTAGATTTAGTGGTGTTTGGTTCAGATCATTACTAACTATTGCTTTATGGATTTGACTACTGTTAGCTTTTTCGAAGAAAAATGATCGTAATTTTGATATTTGTGTGTTCCATAGGGTAAATATGTCGATAAGGCCCCTTCCTCCATGCTGTCTTTTGACTGTCACTCTTTCTATGGCAGATTTTGGGTGTAGACAATTGTGTTTAGTGAGA